TAACTATTCCTGTATGAGGTTTCATCACCATGGGAATAATCACATCTCAACTGCCAACCCACTGGGAATCCTGGCCTAGTTAAATTGACACAATTCCCTAACTCTTACAGGTATAAATAAGGACAGTCTTGGGAGGAGACAACAAGTTTAGCGAAAGCTACCTGAGCAAAAGGAGCTCTGGTGGCGTAGTGGTTGTGAATCGAGCTGCGAACCTCAGGGTCAGCAGTTCAAAACTACCAGCTGTTCCGCGGGTGAAAGATGAGGCTTTCTGCTCCCGTAAAGATTTATAGCCTCGGAAACCCTGTGCAGGGTTGCTATGAGTCGGAACCAACTCCACGGCACGTAACAACAACCACCTGAGTAAAGATCCTGCAGCAATTCTGGGACACTGATGAGTGCAGAGACAGCCAACTGGAGAACCTTCTCAAATACCTCTCCTAATCCTTTGGGGAAACGTTGCAGGTGCAAGCCCAAGACCTTGGTCGGAAAAGCCCATTTTTAAATGGGAAGTACCTTCTCAGATGGGAAGTCCATCTCACCTGGGAAGAGCTGCTAAGGACCAAGTTTACAGAACTGAAAATTATCCCCACACACTTGCACAATCTGCAAGTCAGGACCTCATGCCAAGAACCTACACAGAAAGTTCTAATGGGCGGCCCCCACTGGTCTTGCTTGGCTCCTAAGATGAGAACAATCTTTGGTGCCTGTCACAGGTGAGTAGAGTTCACGGCATGTCATGTACATTCACATATCCTGCAGACATAATCAGCCAAACGACCAAGACTTCCACAGACAAGAAATGTGCCTCCTCTGTCCTTTTAGCAGAGGAAACACGGGGCAAGAATATCCTATGACCAGGAACACGGCAACGCCAGGCTCCTTTGTGTCACACCCAGTGGACTCTGCTTGTGAGCAACAGCTGTACTGTAGGACTATTAAATTCCAGCCTCCAGTGGGCATCCAGTCCAATGTGTACGAGAGGAAAATGTAGCACTCCATATTTTACCATGGCACGCATGACCTCCACTCAGTTTGTGTCTTTTATCAATCTGAAATCCTATAGGGTCCAGAACACAATCCAGACGAATCAGAGGCAGGTGAGTGACATCTGATAAATGCCCACAGATAAATGAAAGGATTGACAGAGGGAAGGCTCAGTACAATTCAGGGGGAGGCTTAACAAGATGTGAAAACCTGACCCTGCTTTTGAAGGAAGCTTTAGATAGATGTTGCACTTCCCGCTCTGGGAGGCATGTGAGTTAGAAGCATCACTCAACAGGATAGGTAGCGCTTATGTCATTTGTACAGTTCCCAAAGGGTGTTGTGCTGGTCACATGGGAGAGCCTCAGTGATACAGTAACAGAAAAGATGCACAAAAAGACTTGGTTACTTCAGGAAGCATTTGTTTATGAGTTACTACCTGGGTTGGAGTCCTGGTGTGGCACTGTTGGTTAATGCAAAGTCCACTTTGAATCGGGACGCCTGTGGTTCGAGTTCACCAGCTGCTCTTTGGAAACCTTATACAGGGTCTCTATGGATCGGAACCCGACTCGACAGCACTTAACAACAACACCTGGGTTAATGCACTGGACTGCAAAGTTGGTTTGCACCACAAGCTCGAGCTCACCAGCCGCTCCTCCAAAACCCTATACACAGGGTCTCTATGGGTTGGAATCAACTCAATGGCACTTAAAACAACTTAACAGATGCCCCAAAGAGGCTATTAGACCCAGAGGATAGAGCAGACCAGAGTTCCTGAATGAGGAAGAAGGTCCCTTTAGTGGATCCCTTGCCCTGCCTCACAGGACGATGCTGAAGCTTTTTAATAGGGTGAGTTGCACTTCAGCCCCTGGCATACTGAGGGTCTCCAAGCACATTTCTTGGATGGATAGATGAATAGAGTCATGATTTCACGTGCATGTGTGCATGCTTGTGTAGCGTGATGGAACGGAGACAAGGCATTATTGCACTTTCTCTTTGGCTCACTTTATTGACAGGAAAACATTTGTGCAATTGGCACATTGTTTTTGCTACTAAGTGCCATGGAGTTGGTTCCAACTCATAGTGACCCTGTATAGGGTTTCCGAGGAGCAGCTGGTGAATTAGAACTGCTGTCACTCTGGTTGAATGCTTATCCTACAGGGCCACACCTCAACTCCAACTACTGACTAGCCTAAAGGAAAATATAGACCAAGTTAGCACTAATGCCTTCTCTCGTTACAAGATGAAGTTGCTTTAGGCAGTTGCAGCTTCAATGTTTATAAACTAGCAAATATTTAATTTCAACATTGATGAGTGCTATCAAAGAGTCAAGCAATGGATAAATAGCTCTTCATCGTGTGAGCTAACAGATGTTTTAAAGATGCTTATTCTCTGACACTATCAAGTCGCCTCCTAGTCGAAGTGTATACGTCTCGGGTTGTCAAGACTTAGAAAGTCTGCAAACGATAGGATGGAGATTCCATAGTGTACTTAGTAAGAGGCTCATACTGCCAACCCTAGACCAAGATTGATTGCACTTACTTTGAAAAAAATGATACTTGTTCCTGGTGCTTTCTCAAGTTTTCAGTGACACTTGCATTTTTAAAAGACACTTTGCTTCAATGGGCTACCATGTATTTATGCCTGCAAGAGCCTTTCTGGCCGTTTTGGAATCGTGTGGTTTACGTGTCCCTTTCCGAGTTAAAACTGGCCGTCCCTTTTAGTGTTTGGTTGTTTGGTACCGAGAAAGTGGTAGCTAGGTATCCTGTCTATATTCTTTGCCATCAGTTCAAAGTTCTTCTTACAACCATCTGGTTTTACAGCTTCACAGATGACTGTAATGGAAGAGAATTTCTTCTTTCACAACCCCAATAATTCAGAATCAATTGGTGTCTATTCTATACTGTGGGGTCAATGGTGCTTAACTTTGAAAATTCCCAAAGTAAATACCCTTAAAACCTTTACCATACTATGTAATCCAACTATGTAAAGGTGTGTGTGTGTTATCCTTTCCATTAAGATAATTCTCATTTTTCCAATGTTATCTCTGTTACTTAATAAAATCTCATCCTTTTTTCAGGCATTCTGTTTGTTCCCTTACATCTTTTCTCAATCTGGACCACTGGCAAAGACCTCTTTCTATAGTGACCCATGTTTCTCAAGTCGCCTTGTTTGTGCTATGTGGATATACAAGAATTGTGGAACAGACAACATGAGTAGGCAGGAGAACTTGATTACGTTCTCGGACACGTTAAGTCTAGTGTCAGGTTTATCAGGCACTCTTCAGGATATCACGGAGGTAGCGTACATATCAGTTTATGATGTCTGGATGGTTCTTTAGTTTAGCTAAAGAGTATGAGTACATATCCACCTCTCTCTAAATTAATACTAACTGCCCGTTTCTTCTGAAGGCATCTCCGCACACTGTTTCTAAGCCACACCAATCTTCAGAGTTTCAGTGGCAGAAACTGGTGCCCTAGTCTCTGTGGAGGGCTCTTAAAAGCATACAGTAGATGGTTGACTGACCCAGTTTCACAATACTTGTGCTTATTCAGACACCAGCTAGAGGCCTTTGCACTTTATCAGCATTGATCCTGGACATAGTAAGTGGAATTTTAAATGAGATTACAAAAGCTGCCAGCGTAACAAGTTTACTTTTAAGACACACACAAAGTACTTTGTGCTTTGCGTCTAAGAGTGTAGTGTTTTCTACTAAGTCTGAAATGCACATTTGGGAGAACTCCTGGTAGCACAGTAGTTGGGCTGCTAACCACAACGTGAGCAATTTGAATCCACCAGCCACACTGCGGGAGAAACATGAAGCTTTCGGCTCCCGTAAAACTCTAAAACCTCGGAAGAAACCCTACAAAGGGTCACTATTGGTCAGAATCAACTCGAAGGCAAGTAGCAGCAGCAACAGCGATGATACAGAAGGGTCCAAGTACACAGAGCCTTAGAACACTCTCCCTGGGAATACAAAGTTAGAGAATGTTTCGCTAACACAGTCTAATCGGACCTAATTGTGTCTTCCTGTTAACACTAGTCGCCCTGAGTCGACTGTGACTGACAGCGTCCCCATTTGTGTCAGAGCACAACTGTGCTCCGTGGGGTTTTCAATGGCTGATTTGGGGAAGTAGATCGCCATGCCTTTCTTCCAACGTGTCTCTGGGTGGATTAGAACCTCCGACCTTTTGGTTAGCAGTCAACTGTGTCAACCATTTGCACCACCCAGGAACTCTTGTTCTGAGGAGAGAGTAATTCCTATCGAATATCTGCTTTCTGAGAAGCACTATGACAGTTAATTTCTATGCAAGTCTGAATCAAGCTTTCTATGCTTAAGAAAGGCAACTTATGTGTCTTCCTTTTCTTTTTCTTTTCATGAAAACTACATAGTCTTCACTGGCCTGTTGAATTTAAGAAAAAGAAAAGAAAAGAAAAACACCAAGACACAACAAAGCAGTAAGACACACCCCCACCCCCACCCCCACACCCCAACATTTTAAAAGACCTTTTCATATAGAGTTTCTGATGGACAGATCTGGATGTCAACCTGACTTGGACACTCTGACAATTCAACACACAGATGAGGTTTCATTGTATTGCTAACTTGACATGGATTTGACACCTAACCTAAAAAGAATCCCAGAAAAATTGCCTCAAAGTCCCTTGGACATTGCAATTTGTTGTTGTTGTTAAGTGCCGTCGAGTCGGTTCCGACCCATAGCGACCCTGTACAGGGTTTCCGAGGGTGTAAATCTTTACGGGAGTAGAAAGCCTCATCTTTCTCCCGCAGAGCGGCTGGTAGTTTCGAACCGCTGACCTTAAGGTTCGCAGCCCGATTCGTAACCACTACGCTACCAGAGCTCCTTTATAGTGCAGTAAAAACGCAAGCAAATAATTGTGCATGAACATGCCATTTTAAAATATACACCAAGAAGTCAATACAATAAATACACTGTGTGTGTACATGAATGCTTTTAAAGCAAATTGTAATGTAGAGTAAGCCAGCCGCTCTTCGTTCATCTTGGTGAGGAGGACTGTTCTCGCTGTCGTAGGCTGTGGAAATGTGCCTGCTTCAAGACCTGGTTGATGTGGAAGTAGGGACCTTGGTATAAAGCAGCTGCCTCATAGAAGGACTGCGGGATGTTACAGTTGGGGTTGGCTGCAATCTGGTACAAGGTGTTTGCTGGTCCACTTGGTCGTTCAGGGTTCCTAATGCTGCTGCTCCTGCCATGATCACTGCTTGAAGACTAAAGGGAAAAAGACAGAAACAGGATCACTCTTACAGCATTGCAGTTTTTCTATCTATTCAATTTGGAGCAATCAAACGCTTATGCTGAGCTTCATAGTGTACACGGTACACTCACTTCAGATATTTCATTCTATCCATATGACAATAAATTGAGATTAATATCCCCAGTTTACAGGTGACAAAACTGAGTTCACTGGTAGCTAGAGAGTAGTTAAGTTGTCGCTTAGTGCCTTCCAGTCAGTCCCTACTCCTAGTGACCCCTGTATAGGGTCTCTGAGGACCAGCTAGTGGGAACGAACCATCGGTCTTGTGATTTGCAGCCTGGTGCTTATCCTAGAGCAGCACACCAGAGTTTGAAACACAGGGCATCTCACTCCAAATCTCTTCACACATCCTTTGTCCCTGTTTGCACCATTTATTCCAGTGATTTACGTAAGAGAAATTCTCAGACTCCAAGGAAGAGCAAGCTTCAATCAGTACTACAGGCTCTGTGGGAACAGGTATGCGCCAATAACAAATAAGATGGCTTCTGATCACAAGTTAAAGTAAATCAATAAGTACTGAAATACAAACTTACATACATACAAGCAAATCAATTATGTGACAATTAGGATCTTATTGCCTGATAAGTAATGGTCAAGTGAAGTCAGATGGCTAGGTTATCAGCAACAGCAATCACGGTGAAATGAGGCCAACTCAAGAAAAGATGTTCCTGGCCCTGGTTGCACAATTCTAGAACCTCCACTGGGACAAACTAGTGAGGTTATGAATATGCAAATATGACATAGGCTATTGTACTAAATAAGAAACCTACCAAACACACTTTGGTTCCTCTTAGTTGGTATTCCTTATCGTTTTTAAGGAAATGTATTTCTTTTGTGAAAAGTAAGCATTTGATGACGATGACAACCAATGGGATCTCAGTATACCATATTCACTACAGCAACTCACAAAACTTCAGATCTTTGTTAAAAAGGTGGGGGTTTGGGATCATTTAGGTCATAATCAAATCTCCCTATTTACCCCACAATGAAAGAAGCTTCAGTAGAGTCCAACAGAGATTTTCCATCGCATATTCTATTTGGGGAGAGGCATTAGCATCACCTATGGGACTTTCTGTTGGCTTGTTTACCATGCACCTGCCTTGCCTCCCCCACCCCCACCCCACCCCCCCCACGTCTGGAGAGGCTGTCTCAGGTAAGTACAGGTTAGTGAGATGTCTACAATTCCCAAATAAAACAAAATAAAAACCCAAGAATACTACTTGTGTGTCTATTATGCACAATGAGGCTCTCTGCCCAGGTTACTTGGGCATTCAACAGGTAATTTGTGACCTGAGCCCAATAAAGAAGACTACGTCCAGTATGACCGTTGCCAAGCTATAGCAATGTGTTGTAGGGGTAATATATGTGTGATAATATGAGCATATTTTCAAATATACACATATCATACAGAGACTCTTTAACAAATCTTAAACAGGAGTAAGCACAAGACAAAGACAAGCATAGGTCACCAGAGTGAGGGAAGGCACAGATACCATGATGAAGTTCTAAAGCACCGCCACCACGTGGTGACCTTTGACAGGGAAACAAAGGAATCTCCTTCCACAACCACACCTGATGGCAGCAATGTATCACATATGCATGCTGGGCCTCAGGAAGCAGGGGGAGGAATATTGCAGGCAGGGAAACTACAGACTGTCTCTGAGGCTCTCAGGGTATGACAGCACAAACAGGCTGTGTGTCCAGGAACGTTCCTGCAATGGCCCGTGGGCAGATGTGGCCCCAAACTGACTTTTAAATATATTCTGCTCCTAACTCTGGCAGGTCCGCTGTCAGAGGTACATGAAGTTCTCAAGAAAATTGGCATCTGAACACTTAAAACTAGGCATAAGAAGGCATTAAGCTCTGCCTGGCTGAAGTCATTCCCAGGCAACAATCCTTCCGATTTTATGCTCCACAGTAAGTGACTGAATTGTAGAGGTAAGCAAACACAGGAGCAAATAAATGCTGACTGGAGGAACAAGACGAGGCTCCTTAAGATGAATGGCATCTGAACAGGGTCTTGAAGGATTGGAAGAGTACTATCTATAGGCAGTGGTTACAGGCTGGGGAAACAACAAAAGCAAGAGCCAGGTCAAGAGTCAGGAATGTTCAAGGAGCCGAAGCTAGTAATATGATGTGGTCCGCGCGTCCTCATTAGCAGGAGACAAACTATGCAGGAGAAGTTATGGCTGGGTTATCAAACAGTTTTGAGTAGCATATTAAGGGGTCTGTAGGGCCAGGTATTTGAGCATAATAAACATGCTTAGATCTACAGAGTTAGGAACGTGATTCTAGTGACTGCATGTGGGATGAATGGGCGAGGGAGAGAGCATGCATACAAAACATCTGAGAAGTATGGCATTGCATCAAGCCAGAGGCAAACACAGCCTGAATTAGGATTGTGGAAATGTAAAGGGAAGGATATATTGGATACACGGGAAGGAAAGGATCCCTGGTAGCACAGTGGGTGACAGACATGTTGGGCTGTTAACCGTAAGGTCAGCAGTTCAAATTTACCACCAAAGAAAGGATATATTTGTTACAGATGGGCACTGGACTGCTTGGCAGTTCAATCCCACCAGCGACTCCTTGGTAACCCCTAAGCAGTGTCTCTAAGAGTTGGAACCGACTCAGTGGCACTTAACAACAACCAGAGGCAGAACAGAAAGGGGTCACTGAGTTGACAACTGAGTCGACACCATGCACCAAGTACAATGCTTGGCCAGTAGAAGGTGTTCAGTAAAGATTTGTTGAATGAATTTAACACCTAAAATCTCAGGATCTTAGCTGATCCCTGAGAAATAAAGCACATTAGTAGGTGGTCGTGGAGAGGGCCAAGTTGTAGCTAGTGGTTGTATCGAGGGAGATGAAAAAATAAGAGACAGTGAATGCAGACTAGAAATGAGAGGTGAAAAGGAGAGATAATAAGACCCAGTAACTTGAGAAAAATATAAAGTCTAAGGAGGAAAACAAAAACAAAACAACAACCAAAAATCGTAAGAGGCTAATGAAAGAACCAATAAACACATCAGTGAAATACGAAGAGATTATGAAGACTATTCATTACCTATCTTTATGAAAACAGAACTGGAATACATATTAGATTTATAATCTGGGTGGTGGTAGTCGTTTGTCAACGACCCTACAGGTTTTCACAGGTTTCCGAACCTGTAAATCTTTACGGGAGCAGAAAGCCTCATCTTTTCTCCTTCGGAGCGGCTAACATATGTATAGAATACAGAATTTTGTAATTTATACATATAAATAGTTATACATTGTTATACTGGACTGCGAATCACAAGGTCGGCAGTTGAAACCCAGCAGCATCTCCTTGGAAACCCTATATAGGGTCGCAATGAGTTGGAACCTACTGGAAGGCACTTACCAACAACATTGTAATTCTTTGTAATACAGAGGTGGTGGTGGTGTGTGCCATGGAGTCGGTTCTGACTCATAGTGACAGGGTTTCCGAGGCTGTAAATCTTTACAGGAGCAGAACGCCTCATCTTTCTCCCACGGAACGGCTGGTCGTTTTGAACTGCTGACCTTGCGGTTAGCAGCCCGATTCGTAACCACTACGCTACTAGAGCTCCTTGTAATACAGAGGAGCCAAGTCTTTTATTTTCTCTCAAGCCCTAGCTTTCCTCTCACCCTCAACACTCAGTACTTGTCATTTGTGTGAACTGCAAATGAAACAAAACAAAGATTTTTTTCACCCCTCATACACATTCCAACCCTTTAGTTTTAAAGGACACTTATAAATTGAAATCTGGAAGCGGGATTCCGTGAAACAGATTATTTTAACCAAATCCATCAGAGCATTTAAAGGTACATTATGTGAAAACATGGAATTTTTCGCTGTATCATCCATTATTAAATAACACTTCAGGGAACCATACGTTGTAGAAAATTCCAGCCTTTCGCACAGCAACATAATGGAAAAGTGACGACACTTCTAAATGGAATTTCGTATTTGTTTTGGCTCAATTATAAGGACATGTGAACTGAAGCCACAAAATGTTCACATCTTAAGGATAAAAAGCAAAGGTCGTAAACTACTAAAACACAAGTCGCTTTCTAAAATATTATTACATAGGGGTTCCATGAATGGGATTTACAATATAATAGTCTGTGAGCTTCTAACAAACACCAATATTTGGTGTGTGTATGTGTGTGTGGGGGGGGGGGGTGAGGATTGTTCTTGTGTGTCAGTATGAGGTGAACCATTCAACAGATTTTCCAAGGTTATGTGTTAAAAAAAAAAAAAAGTCTAAAGCTACTGCAACAAGTGAGAATACTTTCATGAATGTTTCTTTGAATAATACATTTCTTTTAACTGCAGAGCACATATTAGATAACTTAGCGCAGGCAATAAACAGACAGAGAAAACCTATTTGACACTTTCTACCTCTGTAACCAGACAGTCTTGAAGTGCAGGGGTACTCTTACTCCTTTTGGAGTAAGTGAAACTCTGGTCCTCTTCTATCTTGTCATTACATCTTCTTTTCCTGAAACGGAACCAAAGAGAATGATGAGTGGTGGGTGGTGGTTGGGTAGGTGGGTGTAGAATGATCCAACTTAGATTTCAAGTAAGTGTCAACATATCAATTTCACATCCTGTCTGAGAAAATACATTCATCGCCTGCCACCCAAGAGACTTATATAAGCAAGGGGAGGGAGACTAAGTAGAGTCAAAGATAGAGTTTGATTTCTAAAAAATTAGTTTCCTACTTTGCAACGAACAAAGGGAATGAAAGAAGAACAGGAAGAGTTTAATGGCTGAGGTTTAAAACTTTACCCAATGAAGCTCATTGTCTTCATTCCCTGAAATTACAATTCCAGGTTACATGATTTTAACCCCTTCCATAGGTTAACACTTTAGAGAGACGTAATTGCCACGGTCTATGTTCTCTTAAAGTCCTTATGAAAGTGGTAAAAGGGAAAACCCTGGAGAGAGTTTTCTAGTGCTCTGCTGACCAATTACTGTGGCTACATCAGATACGTATTATGACATAACACTTACATCACTGTTGAGATTGTAACACAGACCTAGGCATTTGTAGGGCTCACTGCTGAAGGAGACTACATTTGAAGAAAAACCACATGCTTGCTCAGTGTCATGCACTGAATTGTGTCTCCACTCTTCCTCCCAACTATGTCAGCTTGGCTGGGCCACGGTTTTCAGTGGTTTTGGCAGTTATGCAGTGATGTAATAGAGCAGTTATGTAACGACTCCCTGCCCCCAACACCATTACCATGATGTGAAGTGATAAACCAATAAGAGGATTAAGAGTGGGATGTTGTTGTTGTTAAATGCCATTGAGCAGGTTCGGACTCAATGTATACCCATAATCCTTTAACAGCACCTGAGCTAAAAGGAGAGAGAACTGACCAGAGAGAAGGGACTCACTACCACCAAGCAAGGAGAGGAGGGGAGTGAACTGTGTCTTTTTGACCTGGGGGACCTGGGGTCCCTGCTCTGTCAAGCTCCTAGATCCAGGGAAAGAAAGATGGAGATCTCCAAGGAATGTCTGGGCCACAGATGTTCCCCAGAACCCATATGGAGAGAAAGACTGCCTTTAGAACTGGCACTCTCAATTTGAACTTCTAGCTTCCTAAACTGTGAGAGCCTCAATTTCCGGTTTGTTAAAGACATCCACTTGTGGCATTTCTGTTAGAGCAACACTAGGTAACTAAGACACTCAGGCAGATGTATTCAGAATGTGGATGTCCCTTTTAAAAGAGTCAAGTACTGTCAGAAGGACTCTGAAATCCAGCAGTGAAATCCAGGAGACACATGCTCGGACCCAGGTGGCTTCAGGCCCACCACATTTGTACAATGCTACATAATCTTTTATTATGAAAATGTTTTAAAGTTTAACTTTGTGTAGTTAGGAGATGGAAGGCTGAGGCAGGAAGAGAAGCAGAAAGCAGTCTTTTGAAAGGAACATACTGTATTTGATGCACAGGGTATCTTATTTATGCAACTCTATACCTTCTATGTGAGTTGGATGCTTACTGGAGCCGACCTTAATCCTTATGTTTTGATTTTAGGTCTGGATACTAGAAAACTCAAAATCTATCAAAGACCTTGGCACTCTCAGTTCAATTTCCCTGTACTTAGACAGGGTCTTACTAAAGTCCAGTGTTATTAAGGAAGTTGTGGCTCCCAGCGTTGTTAAGTGCCATCGAGTCAGTTCTGACCCATAGCGACCCTGTACAGGGTTTCCGAGACTGTAAATCTATATGGGAGCAGAAAGCCTCATCTTCCTCCCGCAGAGCGGCTGGTAGTTTCAAACTGCTGACCTTAAGGTTCGCAGCCCGATTCGTAACCACTACGCTACCAGAGCTCCTAGGCTCCCAGCGTAAACGTGTTCAAATAGAAATGGCGGATGTGTGAGCGGCAGTGGACTACATAAGTTACCTCAATTTAAAACTCAGTTGTCTATCAGCAAAGGGAATCATCATTTCAACTCCCTTCCTACCTCCCAGGTCATAAAACCTGACTTGTGTAATTTTTTGATATGCTTGGATGTTACTAAAGTGGGGGAAACAAGGGATCGTTGTTGTTGTCAAGTGCCGTCGAGTCGATTCGGGCCCATAGCGACCCTGTATAGGGTTTCCAAGGAGCAGCTGGTGAGCTTGGGCCGCAGTCCTTGAAGTTCAAAGGGTTTCGCAGTCTGGAGCATTAACCCGCAGCGCCTCACCAGGACTCCGATTGTTGTTGTTATGTGCCGTGGAATCGGTTCTGACCCTGTACAGGGTTTCGGAGGCCATAAATCTTTACGGCAGCAGAAAGCCTCATCTTTCTCCAGCGGAACAGCTGGTAGTTTCCAACTGCTGACCTGGCGGTTCGCAGCCCGATCCGTAACCACTACGCTATCTGAGCTCCTTAGGACTCTGATTACTAATCACTAAATGACCTCAGCAAGTGCTTTGGACCTAAGCAATTGCTACATTAATCCTATCAGGCTCACAGAAGTAAGATAAGAATGTCTTGTAGTTAGAGTGTCAGGTATAAAGGGAAACCAGTTGGTCACCCAAATGGAAACAGAGAAAATGGCAGCAATGTGGCCCCACACTATTTTATCAATGTATCAAGTCTTGGTTGTGCTTTGGGTTGCTCTAGCCAATATGGGGTGGCACTGTGGGTTAATGCGCTGGGCTGCAAAGTCGGTTTTGAACCACAAGGTCGACGGTTCAAGCTCACCAGTCACTCCTCGCAAACCCCATACAGGGTCGCTATGGGTAGCAACTGACTCAAAGGCACGTACCAACAACAACAACAGCCAATAGTACGACCAGGTGTTTAACTAAGCACAGCATTTCTTTATTTGCAGTAAGGGACATAGTCTGGTCTTTCCTGTGAACAGAATATACATGCCCAAGGAACTGCTGAGGAACAAAGTAATAGGACACTGGGGATGAGCTGCTCATGAGAACTTCTCCAACCTAAACTTAGGGAAAGTCACACAATTCGCCCCTGCCTCAGAATCGGAGGTCATCTTCCTAGGTGCCAGAATCATCACGTTGGTCTGGCCATGGTCCTTTCCCTCGGATGGTACTGCATTAAGAGTCAGCCCTACCTGCTCTTCATGCTCCTTTCTCTAGGTTCTTTGTCGATTACTTCCTTGAGATATTCGTCTCTCAAAAATGTTCACAGTGATTGGCGCCTCATGCCTCCTATCACTAAATAATCAGATTCGGCGCCTCATGCCTCCTATCACTAAATAATCAGATTCGGCACCTCATGCCTCCTATCACTAAATAATCAGATTCCGTGTTTGACATTATCATTTTGCAAGACACCCTATAATCGATCCGATAGATATTATTAACCAGCTCTCTCCTTGGAAATTACTGTTTAATATGAGTCCTGGTGAGGCGCTGTGGGTTAAGGCGCCAGAGTGCAAAGCCATTTGAACTGCAAGGTCAGCAGTTCAAGCTCACCAGCTGCTTCCTGGAAACCCTATACAGGGTCGCTATGGGTCGGAACCGACTCAACGGCACTTAAACAACAACAACAACTCTCGGCATCTTGGTGTGACGCACTCAACCATAAGGTCGGTTTGAACCTTAAGATTGGCGGTTCAAACTCAGCAGCCGCTCTTCAGAAACCCTATACAGGGTCACTATGAGTTGCAACCAACTCAGTGGCACTTAGCCAACAACAACATTGTAGTCTTCCTAAGGATGGCTGAGTTTATTCACTTTTGTAATTTCATTTCTCTCACTAATTACAGAGAAAAGCTTTGAGGTCATAGAGACCAGTGAATTCCTAATTAAAGTAATTTCTTAAATGAAAGAAAGCTTTAATTTTGGGAAAAAAGACCAAAATAACAACAAAAAGAGCAGGCTTGCGGGGAGGAGAGGAGGTCTGTAGCAGTCAATACTCTCTCTGGGTTCACCTTCCTGTACCCTAACACTGACTCAGATAGTCAAATACGCGGATCTGGGAGATCCCAGACTAGAAGGGAAGTTTTCTTGAGCCTTGACTGAAGGCAGTCCATGAGATGCTGAGTGAAGTAAAACTTATGTAGCACAATAACAAATAATTTCATTATAAATGAATTCCAGTTAATGGGCGATTTGTTGTTAAGTGCCTTTGAATCAGCTCCAACTCACAGCGACCCTGTAAAGGTTTTCTGGTTAAGTTTGGAGTTCAGTGCTTATCTTTGAAATGAAATCTTTCTTTTGTAGGACATAAGGGCTTTTTAAAAAAAAAAAAAAAAAAAAACTTCAGTTATGTGAGGCATGCCCAAAGAAGCTTCCAGAAGTACAGCTGGACTTGCAGAAAGAACATGGCATTTAGATCAGGCTTGCTTCATATATGTTGCTGTTGTTTAGTGCTGTCGAGCTGGTTCTGACTCAAGAGTGATGCTGTGTAGGTTTTCCAAGGCTGCGTGTCTTTTCGGGACCAGAAAAAGCCTCATCTTTTCCCCTGGGAGCATTCGGTGGACTTGAACCACCAACCTTGTGGTTCGCAGTCCAGTGCTTATCCTACAGAGCCACTGCGCTTCCCTTCATATATGTTGTTGTAGTTAAGTGCTGTCGAGTCAGTTCCAATTCCTAGTGACCCTGTTTCCAAGGAGCAGCCGGTGGTTCTGAACTGTTGACCTTGTGGTTAGCCGTCCAGTGCTTATCCTACAGCTCTACAGCAGGACTACTTACCTATTTGACTGGCTTCATAGATAGTACTTTCTAAGAGAAAACAACCCCAGTTGCCATCTGCATCGATTAAGACTCGTGGCAACGCCATGTGTGTCAGAGTAGTGCTAGGCTTCCAGGGTTTTCAGAGGTCGATTGTTTTGGAAGTAGGTCACGAGGCCTTTCTTCCAAGGTGCCTCTGGGTGGACTTGAACCTCCAAACTTTTGGTTAGCAGCCCAGCACGTTAATCTTTTGCACCCCACAAGGACTCCATGCTCCATACTTGTATACTTTGTCTCTAATTGCAACAGTTGGTGTTGTTATCTGCCTTTGATTCGGCCTCCGGCTACTGGCAACTCCATGCATAGCAGAGAAAATGCTGCCGTGTCCTGAGCCCTCCCCAAGATCACTTGTGGATCAGACCATTGTGGTCATTAAGGTTTTCATTGGCTGACTTTGGGAAAGAGATCCCCAGGCCTTTTTGCCTAGCCCTTCTTTGTTTGCAGACTCTGCTGCAGGCTGTTCAGTGTCAGAGCAACACGCATGTCTCCACTGACAGATGAGTGGTGGCCGTGAATGAGATGAACTGGCCAGGACTTGAACTCGCATCTCCCTCCTGGGAGAGGATAATTCTACCACTGAACCACCGCTGCTGCTTCCAACGTAAGTCTAATGACAAGTGGGTAGTTGGGCATCCATTTGGAATCCACGGGAGGTGCAAGGAGTTAAGCTCTGGCCAGAAGACTGGCCCTCTGAACCCACCTGGAGGTGCCTAGGGAGAGAAAGCTGGCAATCTACTGTGCACACTTGAGGTCTCCTTGAGTCAGAAGTGACTTAATGGAAATAACAAGAAGTTCATATTCAGTGTTGATACTCACCTCACATTTGTTATTGTTGTTAGTTACGTGAAGACGAGTCTGACTCCTGCAGCCATACATGAGCTGAATCAACAAGCCAATGTTTCAAGCTAGACTACCTAGAGACACTCACTATGGGACCAAGTCACCTTAGAATGCCTTCCAGAATCTCAGTCCTAAGAAATGACTCTCTGTTTCAGGGCGGGGTCCTGTGAAAAGACAGCCAGTAAATCTCTTGAGAACTGACCAAAATGGAGCACACAGAGAAGATCTAGTGTACTGACCAATGGACTCCTGCAGTGCGCTATAGTTAACCACTGGCCTGCTAACCACAAGGTTGGCGGTTCAAAGCTATCAGCCACTCCTTGGAAACCCTAGGTGGTTGTTGTTATTGTTAAGTGCCATCAAGGAGTTGGTTTTAACTCATAAAGACCCTCTATAGGGTATCGGAGGAGTGGCAGGTGATTTTGAACCACAGGCTCTGCGGTTCAAACCCACCTTGAGGTCCCAGGGCATTATTCCACAGCGCCAAACCAGGACTCATAGGTTATCTGAGGAGCGGCTGCTGAGTTTGAACTGCTGAGCTTGGGGGTCCAGTGTTTATCCTACAGCGCCACACCAGGACGCCAATGGAAACCCTATACAGGGTCACTATGAGTCAGAACCAACTCGACAGCACCTAAGAACAACAACATATCTACCAATGAACGCAATTCTATGACGCATCTTATTCAGTGAAGTCTTAATCAGGTTATTATGCAGTGAAAGAAAGAAGCTTGAGACTGGAAAGATCTGGGCTCTCTGCTGACTCTGCTATCGACCAGCTAAGTCAGTTGGCCTGGCTGAGGCCAGTCAAAACGGTAATGGCGTAAGCCAGGAAGCCAATGCTGACTACTAAATGGCAAATGAGAAAGAAAATCATGTAGAACAAGTACTGGTGATATATGGTCATCTAGTGATACAAAAAAGGAGCTCTGGTAGCATAGTGGTTACGAACAGGGCTGCTAATTTCATGGTCTGCAGTTCGAAACTACAAGCTGTTCCGCAGGAGAAAGATGAGGCTTTCTGCTCCCGTAAAGATTTACAACCTCGGAAACCCTGTACAGGGTCGCTATGAGTTGGAACCAACTCCATGGCACATAACAACAACAACATCAACAACATTGATATGAAAAACACAGAGTATGTGTAATGTAAAAAGACTGCAGAATGTAGGTATTATTTCATTTCACAACATTTATTGAGCCCTCACTGAATGCAGGTAGTCTTCCAGGTGCTGGGAACAATGGGTTAAACCATCCTACACCTCAGAGATCATCTCAGGTTATTGCAGTTTGATCCTGAGTTTTCCTGAAAAGTTCACCTTTCTGTAATAGTTGCATTCTTTTCTTAATCAAGAATGACTAAAACAACAGAAAGAACTTTTTCAAAAAGATGTAAAACGGGGTTTAAAAGGCAAGATCTTGAACTTCATTATGTTTCAAATGGAGTCCTCTTGTGGTGCTTGGGCTGCAATGTGGGTTTGAACCACAAGGTCCATGGTTCAAGTTCATCAGCTACTCCTCGGAAACCCTTGGGCACTTAAAACAGAAACATGTTTAAATGCACCTTTATTAATGAAATGTATCACTAAATGTAATTAATGGCCATCACTGGATAATGGTGGTGGTTATGTGCCTTGGAGTCGGTCCTGACTCCTAGAGACCTTGTACAGGGTTTCTGAGGCTGTAAATCTCTATGGGAGTAACTACTACTGCCAGAGGTCCTTGTGTAGCAATAGTGCTGTGGGCTAAGGCGTCAGACTGCAAAGTCGTTTGAACAACAATCAGTTGTTATTGTTGTTAAGTGCCGTCCAGTCTATTCCAAGCCATAGGGGCCCTGTATAGGGTTTCCAAGGGGCAGCTGGTGAGCTTGAACTGCCAACCTTGTAGTTCAAAGACACATTAGCCCACAGCGCCACCCCAGGACTCCAGGTAACAAGTGGCTGTTGTTGTTGTTGTT